CTCGACGGCACATAACAACAACAACAACAAGGGAGAAAATGCTGTAGAGATATAAAAATCGTGTCATTTTATTTCTAAGATTGTACAGAGGTCTTTGACTACAAAAATATTTAATCCCTATAGACAGACATTCTAATTTATATACTTTCATTTGATTTCAGGTTTTAACTCTCAGCAATCCAACCTTTTCTACAAATTGACTTTTCCTAAGTAAATTCAAAATTAAGGTTAATGCAAAAGAATCCCTCTGTTTAGTATTTTTTTTTAAAAAAAAAAACAATCTTACCCACTGTACTTTGCATGTATTTAATGCTTTTATCTAACTCATTAATTTTGTTCCAGAATAAAAATGGATTATATTCCATTATAGGATTGGTCTAGGATCCTTATCGTGTTCAATCTTTGCTTTTCTTAATCTTTTTCTCTTAATTTTGCTGTGCTTTGAAATTGACACTTTGTCGGTGACCCATGATCTCTGCAAGATTGACTTTTAAGAGTATGATCATAGTTATTCTTTTTCATAAAACACTCCCTGTCAAATAAAGATGTAAAAGATGGACAGTAAACTTAAACTTAATTTTCTGAAGCAACAGAAAGGAAAATACAATGTGCTTTTCATAAGAAATATTTTTAAATACACCAGCCTAATTTTTCTTTGTCAAAAGCTTATTTTTAAAGTTATATGTACTTTATTTAAAGATAGTTGGTGGATTGATTGGGAGCTTTGGTGATGTAGTGCCTATGGCATTTAACCGCTAACCAGAAGGCTGGTGTTCAGACCCACCAGCCACTCCTCGGAAGGAAGGTAGGGCAATCTACTTCCGTAGGAATACCACCTCGGAAACCCAAGGAGGAGGAGTCACTATGGGTCAGATCTGACTCAATGGCAGTGAGTTTGGTTTGTTTTTTGGTGTATGGATAGATAGATACATAGAGAAGAGAAAGGTAGAGGCTATTAACATACTTGATGTTTGCTTGGCTTGTAAGTTCTTGTTGAAATATATCTGGTTTTACATTTTTGAATTGTTCCAACTTTTTAGACTGAGGGAGATATTTAAAAGGGAGAATCGAATCCCCCTCACTAAATTCATCTTTTCTTGGAAGGCTTTGCATTAGAAGAGGGATTTTACACATAGTTTGAAAATGAGGAACAGGATAGTTCAGGAAGGTAATTACCTCTGTCAGGATCTCGAAGCATAAATCTAAATGGATGTCAGCCTGTAATGTATGTCAGGTGATTATAATGTAAGTATGTTATGTTAAGAAGAGAGAGGTAAGTTCTATAGCAAACACTTTTCCTAGGGGGAGATAAGAAATCTTAGTACAGGTAAACAGAACTGAATTGAGTTATATGATCCCAGCATAGACGATTCCATGTGCTAAGTTTTTTTTTTTTTTTTAACTGTAAAATGAGGGGTTTTAACCAGATCCCTTCCAGCTCTACAAATCTGTAGCTCTAAAAATGTTCTTAATCATGAGAGCACCGCAGGTACAGCTATGGAACCTGATTTGGGTTGTTAGATCTCATGAGTTTGGTCATGAATTTTATGAGCCTGACTCTGTGGGTCTCTTAATTTGCATGAGTAAGTAAACAGTGGTGACTGGGTCATTTACTTAATTCAGCGTATTGTGGATGATCAATACCAAAAGAAACTGGACATCCCATACTTTCTCTAGAGAGGGAATGCCACCGATGCCCTTGCTTTTATGAAAACTCAATGATAATATCCTTTTGGAAGGCAGAGCACTCTCATAAATATAGTCTCATTTCATCTTTACAACAGCTTATGAAGGAAATAGACCAGAAAGAACTAGTTTTCTCTGACAACCAAGTTTACAAACTTTTATCGTGTACTTATTGTAAATGTGTACATCAACATAATACGTGCAATCATATAGTCCCTGGCTCAGAGTACTTACCAAAGAAACTGAGGTGCACAGTGATTTGAGAAAGATTACAAAACTCCTTTGTGGTAAAGCCAGGATGAGAATCTTGGTTTCTTGACAGGGCTTTTTTTTTTTTTTTTTTAAGGCCAAAATAAGACAGGTAAAATTCAAGTCAAGCCAAAGCCCTGGTGTTTCAAACCAACTAGAATGGTAATTTAAAACTAAGGGTCTCTTAAGTCATTTTAGTTAACATAATTTTAAGAAGCATTAACTTTGTTTCCTTGTATATGAGGCATAAAGAGGATTCATCATTCTCCTGCCAAATGAAGTCACTGGTTGATTGTTTTTGTCGATGAAAAACTTAATTTTCACATTCATGAGACATCTCTTGTTGCTTCACCCTAAGCGCTCCTTCGGGGATTTAGGCGTAGTTCTCTGCACATATTAGTGAACGCAGCCACTCCATTCCTTCGCATTACCATGTTCTCCATGCCTCCTTTGTAATTACGTATGAAACACTGTATCTTTTTCTTCTCCCCCTCTTTTAGATCCAGCTTTCCAAAATTGGACCACCTTTTATTATCAAGAGTCAACCCATCTCTAAACCAGAGCCTCGAACATCCACTAGCACATCCGTGAGTGGAGGGAGGAACACGGGAGCCAGGACTCTGGCGGATATCAAGGCCCGTGCCCAGCAAGCGAGGGCTCAGCGAGAAGCCGCTGCTGCAGCTGCTGTGGCTGCTGCTGCGAGCATCGTCTCTGGGGCCATGGGGAGCCCAGGGGAAGGTGGAAAGGCACGGACCCTGGCACATATCAAAGAGCAGACAAAAGCCAAGCTCTTCGCTAAGCATCAAGCCCGAGCCCACCTCTTCCAGACCACTAAAGAGGCTTGGTTGCCCCAGTTTAGCTCCAAGGAAGGACCTCTAAACATAGAAGTCTCTTCTACTCCAGAAACAAAAATTGAAGGTTCAACTGGTGTGATTATTGTTAATCCAAATTGCAGATCTCCTAACAAGTCAGCACACCTCCGGGAGACCAGCACTGTATTACAACAGTCTCTTAACTTGCCGAAAGTTCCAGAAACTGCCACTGACTTATCTGTGCATAGTTCTGATGAAAATATACCTGTGTCACATTTATCTGAGAAAATTGTTTCATCTACCTCTTCTGAAAATAGCAGTTTGCCCATGCTTTTTAATAACAATACTGTCCCTGTGTCTGTCTGCAGCACTGCTATGTCGGGAGCAATCAAAGAACATCCCTTTGTGGGTTCTGTTGATGAATCCTCTGTTCTAATGTCTGTTGACAGTGCAAACACTACCGTTTCTGCTTGTAATATAAGCATGTTAAAAACCATCCAGGCAGCTGACCCTCCATGCATAGCCATTATACCAAAATGTATTGAAAACACTCCCGTCCCAGCCGCTACAGAGAGCTCAAGCATATCAAGCTCCATGGATGATAAGCAGTTGCTGATATCAAGCACTAATGCTAGTAACTTGGTCTCCAGTCCATACACCTCTGTGCCAACGCCCTCTGTTGGAAATAATTTGCCAAACCATCTTTCTACTAGCTCTGTCTTGATTCCCCCAACAGGAATCAACAACCGATTTCCTTCTGAGAAGATAGCCATGCCTGGGAGTGAAGATCAGGCCACCGTATCCATGGGTACCACTGTGAGAGCAGCCCTCAGCTGCAATGACTCAGTAGCAGTTGCAGACTCTCTGGTTGCACGCCCACCCATTGCAATGTTTACCGGAAACATGTTCACAATAAACTCTTATGATAATCCTCCCAAGTTAAGTGCTGAAAGCATGGACAAAAGTGCAGGGCCTCGAACCAGAGCAGATAATTCTGGAAAACCTCAACAACCACCAGGGGGCTTTGCACCAGCAACCATCAACAGATCAATTCCGTGTAAAGTCATTGTGGACCACAGCACCACGCTGACCTCCAGTTTGTCTCTGACTGTCTCCATTGAAAGTGCAGAAGCCAGCGTGGACCTCCAGAGCAGGTCGGTGAGGACAGACACGCCCATACCACCCATGGCATGTCCCCAGGTATCAGTTATTAGTAGGCCCGAGCCAGTTGCAAGTGAAAGCATAGATCATGGTTCAAGTTTCATTGCTACTTCTGCAGCAAAACAAGACTGTAAAGCCTTGCAGGCCACCTGCACAAATCTCCAAGAATTACCCCTCGTTGTCTCAGATAAATTGAATGAGGTGCCTGCGCCTAATCACAGCTTTGCTGAGCAGACACATGGCCCAAGTACTTTCAAAAGTGAAACAGACACAACCTGTAGCAGTCAGTATAACCCAGGGAACCGGATTTGCTGGAATGATGATGGAATGAGGAGTGCAGGCCAGTCTCTGGTTAGCCACTCGAGTTCAAGTAAACAGAAAGACTATCTAGAACAGAGTTGTCCAACAACGATCAAAACTGAACACGCCAGCTACTCCCAGATGTCAGAACTTCACCCCAGGAATCTTATAACAAATGTCACACTCCCTGTGAAATCTGAACCTCATGAAGTAGACAAGGGCTTTAGAATGGACACTGAAGACTTCCCTGGACCTGAACTGCCTCCTCCAGTGACAGAGGTGACCTCTAGTGTGCAACAAACACAGAACGCAAAGGCTTCCAACCCCAGTCCCATGGAAGAGGCGATTTCTTTGGCTACAGATACCCTGAAAAGGGTTCCGAGTGCAGGGAGCTCAAGCTGCCGTCTGTCATCTGTGGAGGCTAACAATCCGCTGGTGACACAGTTATTACAGGGCAACCTGCCTTTAGAAAAAGTGTTGCCACAGCCCAGACTGGGAGCCAAACTCGAAATTAACAGGCTTCCATTGCCTCTTCAAACTACCTCAGTGGGTAAAACAGCACCAGAGAGGAGCATTGTGGAAATGCCGTCTAGCTCTCCAAATCCAGACGGCAAGGGCTACTTGACAGGGACGCTTGCACCACTCCAAATGAGAAAGCGAGAAAACCACCCCAAAAAGAGAGTGGCCAGGACTGCTGTGGAACACACTCAAGTTAAATGTGAACCAGGGAAACTGTTGGTGGACCCAGATGTTAAAGGGGTGCCTTGTGTCATCAACTCCAGCATGAGCCAGCTAGCGCACAGCCAGCCATTTAAGCAAGAGTGGCTGAACAGACACTCCGTGCAGAACCGGATCGCCCACAGCCCTGAAGTCAAACAGCAGAAGCGGCTGCTCCCCTCCTGTAGCTTCCAGCAGAATCTATTTCATGTTGACAAGAACGGCAGCTTCCACTCTGAAGCTGCTACCTCACACAGACAGCAGTTTTACCAAATGCCTATGGCTGCAAGGGGCCCCATGCCCACTGCAGCTCTGTTACAGGCCTCTTCCAAGACCCCAGCAGGCTGTAACACATTTGCCTTCAATAGGCATCTTGAACAGAAGGGATTGGGAGAGGTCGGTGTTTCTTCATCACCTCACCAGCTAAGATTAGCCAACATGTTATCCCCCAGTATACCCCTCAAAGAAGGTGAAGACATGGGGGCCACCGCACATGCAATGGCAAGCAAAGCACTAGTACATCCTCCACCCCCAC